CTGCTGCTGCAGGATAATCTGTCCCCGGTGTCTTTGCATTGCCCCGGCCTCCCCCAGGGAAGGATTGTGTTCCCCCGAGCAGGGAAAGGTGAGCGTTCCCCACTCGTGCTCAGCATCTTCACTCCTTCCACCGCAACCGGAGACCTGAAATGAATGTGAGATGAGGCAATGACCTTTGGAAAAGCTGGAGCTGCAGTGAGCGTGGAGCAGCTGAGCTGTTTGCCCTGGAGGAGCGATGGCCAGGCAGGGAGAGAAACCTCTCTGCAAGGACAGGCACTAAGGTGACAGCCCCAGCATCTGAAGACCCATTTATTCTGCCAGGAGCTGCTAATGCAGCGACTCTGTTGCCTCAACTCACCATGGGAGCAATGAGGAGCCAGCTAGCAAGAGGCTTTCTGGCTGGAAATCCTAATCCCACCCCAGCTTCCTATAAACCAAGAGACCTTCTGGGCTCAGCCGCCTCCATGGCACGTGAGGGATTCAGAGATGGATTTGGCTCCGAGAGCACTTGGGTCTCCCCGGGTGCCTGTCCTGCAGCTTCTGCCCCGGCTCCACTGTCCCTCACCGGGGACGAGCCCCAGCTGTGGCCACCCCTGCACCTCCCTGGGGACACATCATTCCAGAGGAGCCCCAAAATAAATCCCTGAGGAATAGCTGCTGGTACCCAGAGCTCGGCAGCGGGCAGCTGGTCTCCCGCTCCACAGATGGAGGCACAGGAACAGCAGCACTGGGGCTGTGGGGGACAGGTGGGACACAGACACGGGCACTGCGCAGTCAACCAGTTAATCCCATTTTATTCTTCCCAGTACAAATGAAGCACTGCTTTCCAGCAAGGGTGCCACGGGGTGAGGCTTTTGGTCTGCAACATCTGGCTCTGCTTACAAAATCCCTGACCTCAAAAGCAGCCGCCCTGGGCTGGTCTGTAACAGCACTTGGGTTATCGGGGCTTTAACGAATGACCTTTATGGACAAGGCAGAGCACATCCCTCCCCAGATCAAGAAAATCCTCTCTAAGTCTCCCAATCCCGTTACCAAAACGATCGTACAAACAATGTGACCAAGACGCTGCTGTCCCGCCCCGCTGCCCGCAGGGACACCCGTCAGAGCCCGGCTCCTCCCAGGCACCACTCAAACACCCATCTCCCGCTTTCGGAGCCCCAAACGCAGGTGGCAGTGCTGGTGCAGAGCGGGGTGGCTCTGGCAGATGTTCCCGAGCCCGGGGTTTCCTCCTCGTGTGCACTGCACGCTCCTCGGTACCGCAGCCATCGTTTGAGGGTGGGGGGATTTGACAGGAATTTGTACAGAATCAATATGGAATTAAATGGAAAAGAAGCATCAGCTTAACACCAAAAAAAGGGAAAAAGAAAAGAAAACAGGAGAAGTGAACAGTGAGCGCTGTCAGGAGGCAGAAGCCGCTCCTCCCCGGCGGGCTGGGACGCTTCTCGAGGGTTTATCTGCGCTTGGCCCCAGTGAGTGCCAGGAAGGGAGGCCAGCGGGTTACACCCACTCCTGCCAGCACAACACAAAGCCAAAACCTTTCCAGACGAACACCAACCTTTAAAAAAACCACAAAGAACAGAGACAACAACCTAGAACATGTAATCAACACCTGAGAGGCTTGGAGAATCTCAACAGCCGTCTGCAAAGCCTTCCAAAAAACATTCCTCATTCTGCTCAGGAAAACCAGGAGGGAAAGGACGGCCAGCATCCCGGAGCGTGCCTACGCCTTGCGCTTCTTCGCAGCCGGCCCCCCCCCCTCCCCCAGCCACTGCTGCAGGATACCCGCGCTGGTTTTCTTGGGCGAAGGGCTTTGGATGAACTGACTCTTCCACTTGGGCAAATCATTTTCTTTCTTCTGGGGAGAGCCCTCCTGGGAGTTTTTTAACCAGCCCAGCATCGCTTTGCTGCTCGGGGTGGCTGTGACCTCCTGCAGAAACAAAAGACAGTGGGAGAGCAGTCAGAAGCCCGTGAGAGCAGGGCAGGCGGCCGACGCTGAGCGCTGGCCCCGAGTGGGACACGGAGCCCATGGGCACATCTGCGGGAGGTTCCCCAGGATGCTGGGAACAGGCTTCTTCCAAGCCTCATTTCACATGGAATTTGCCTCGTTTGGCAGAGAAATCCCGGCACAGGGCGACAGTCTGTTTCTGGAAGTGGGCGGAAGGGAATCTGGGGGCTCTGCACTCCAGCAGCAAGCATGGGAACACCCCGCGGATGCTGCTGGCTGCTG